AAGATAATAAAGATTAACTTTGTAATTTTACAATAATTAAATTACTTATTTCGCTTTTAAACATTGAATGTTTACAAAAAGATAGTTTTGGGAGTAAAACGAAACAAATAATATTTTAATCAAATCCAAGAGATTTGTGTGAGATGCGGATTTTGATCTCACACTACCACTTGTGTGATTGATTCAATCATTAATGATAAATAAACAAATGATTTCAGAATAATACCTTTCATTGCAAGAGTAAGGATACTGGCTGCAACTTTTGATGATGGTTGCTACCACCTTTGTGTCATATAAAAATGATTGCAACCACTGGTTGCAACCGCCTTTACAACCATTTTGTTTCCTTTTTTGGATTGCGACATGGAACACTATGCAAGAGTGGAATAAAAATAATTACTTTTTAATATAATTATATATATCTTTAATAAAACAAACATGACTTAGCTACTTAATCATTTCCTTGTATCTGAATGCCTCCATCCATCAAATATTCATGATGGTCATGATTATTATTCAATACATTTGATGTTATAATTGACATAAAAAACAATTGCATCACCCAAGTAGTAATAACACCAAGGCCATGCATAAATGAAACTTTTAATAATGCGTGTCTACCCAGATCTCTGGGGTTCACAAAAATAAATGAATAAATAGGAAGGATCAAAAAAAAAATTATTTCCCTTCTCATTGTATAGTTCCTTAAAACTAATAATAAATCTGACTGATATTGATCACAGGTATCAGATTTAATAAAGTTTCCTCCATCAAACATGCAATTGACTCTTCATAGCTGTAGGCTTTTTTCTTTTCCACAGATGAAGGCGGATTGGACAAGTTGGAAGGCTTTCAGGCAAGCAAGAGGCTTTAACACAGGTAGAAATTTTCAGTTTTGACAATATATATATATGGTAATGTGAACTTATGGCAGACCCCATAATATTGTATCATTTCTCTAGAATTGGTCAAATAAACCAATTTGCTCCATGTTTTACCAACATATTTATCATATGTTGCATCTGAGCTACTTAGGGGAAAAAAGAACACAAAAGAATATGATATCTATAGCATTGGGATGTTAATGTGGGAAATATTTGCAGGTCATCCACCATTTGATGATAGAGCTCATGATCATTGTTTAATTTTTGATATATGTGAAGAAGGTTTACGACCATCAATATTACCAGGAATGCCTGAAGATTATGCACAAATGATGCAGAGGTGTTGGGATGTGGATCCATCAAAAAGACCAACTAGTAGAGAACTTCGGGACTTTGCCGAAGATAAACATAGGGAGATTCATGATAATGATTGTAGCAGCAGTGGTGCTGGTGCTGTTAATAGTGATGATTTGCAACAAATACATAAATCACATCCAGATGCATACCATACAAGTAGAATATTAAATGAAGAGATTGCTAGATCAAAATGCTTTAAAAGTTATACAATTGATGACAGTTCATTAGATTTTGGCTTTCTTGGTTAATAAAGGTGAATAAAAATTCCATTATTAATTAATTGGAAATTAATTATTACTAACAATTTGATTAATAAACATTAGATTCCTAAAATAATTTTCTAATGAGTTAATTAGTTTTGACTAAGAATAACTTTCTACAAGTTAATTAGTTTCAACTAAGAAAAACTAAATAAACAAAATAATAAATATTTTATTTTATTTAAAACTTTCATCTTTTTTAAACAAAATTATTCTCTAATCCAAAATCAATTCGTTGATAACCTATTCATTCTTGATCCACACAAATACAAAAATAATTGTTATCACCAATTAAAACGCACTCTCCCAATTTAATTGGTAACAAATTTATATATGCCAATCACCCGGTTTTTGCTATGGTTGGCTCGGTCTAAAGACTTCCCATTGCTGTGCCACGCATCCAAATTTCAAAAAATTGCGACTTCGTGTTTCAAAAATGCAATAAAATTTTTTAAAAAGGGTTTCACGTGATTTTGGTTAAAAAATTATTTTCTTACTGCCAAATTTAGATATGATGATTGAGCATTAGTCTAAATTTAGAAATGATCCTAGCGCTCAAATTTTTCATGAGCATAGTAAAGTACATGTTTTAAAAAAGAATAGAACTCTATATACAACAAATAATTTTTTTGATAAAATCTTTTTATTACACTAAACTAAATACATATTCTATCAACTAATAGAGCTATTTTTTTAAAAGATAGGACAGAAAATGACTTCTATACTTTTAAAATTTGCCCAAAATTTAGGAGGTCTTTAGACCGAGCCAACTATACACTGTTTACAACCTCCTATAGATCGGCAGGAAATGTCCTATGACTGCCAATAAAATTAATGACGCCAATTAATATTAATAATGTAAAATAAATGGCAATACATCCACAATTTAATCTAACATATTGCTAGCTATTTCTTGGCAATGACACCATCAATATGTCATTTCCTTTTATTTCTTTATATGCTAAAATAGTAAATATTGTAAAAGGACATAATGAAGTTGATGATGATGAAACAAATGGAACAAATGAACCTGAGCCGATGATCACTAATATGGAAGCTATAAAAGTTCCAGAAACTGTACTTAAATATGTAGAGCAAAAAATTTTAGATATTGATTTTCAAGCAATTAGAAATGTCAAAAGATTAAAAAGTGAAATTTCTTACAAAATTCTCAAGAACAAGTAAGTGCAAACAAGAATGAAAGATTATTATAATGTCAACATTTAAGTGAATGAAATTGTTTTTTTTTAAATTTCTTACCAACTGTATTTTTATTATCATTATTATTAAAATAAAATTAATTTTTTAACGCAACATTTATCACATGATTTAATCAAAAATTTGATTTTTTACGGATATCTCGGTATAGTGGATAAATTTTTTGGAACAAACTTATGTGTAAATTATATAGAAAATAAATAAAATGTAATATTAATAATAAAGTATCATATACACTCACCTATCATAAATATCCGACCACTTGCGCTGTGTAACGTCAAATGAAAAAAGTACTTACTAAATAAAATGCGTTTTCTTAAATAAAACCTTTACTGCCATACTAAGTAAACTCATATTTGATATCAAAACTCTATATTAAGAAAATTTCGAATAGTTCAGTATGGTATTAATGGAAATATTTAGCAAATCATCCAAAAAAGCAAATTTCCGATTGAATTTTTACATGTAATAAAAGGTCAAATTTTTTTGTTGTAATGTATATTATTACCTTAATAAAACGTGCTTAACGTAACAGATTACATATATTTACAATAAGGTGTCAGCATAAATTAGTTTGTGAAAAGGGTTTAAAAAAGTATCCAACCACCCCGTAATTTTATCATATAAAGCACTTAATAAAGTTGACAAAATGCAAATTTTAAGGCTTTACGTTTTGTTGTCTATACTTGATCAAATTTTCTCAAATTTTAACCATATATAATTAAAGGTATTTTAATTGGACTTAATTAATGACATAATCCATAATTCAATAGAGTTTTGAACCTTTTTACTAAGCTCAAAGTTTTCATAAAAATCATGAAATTTTTTGTCTAATTTAAAATTTTCATCCTAAATTTATTAATAATGCAAACTCGACGAAACTTTAAGTTTATATTTAAATTGACTTTAAAAACATGTTTACTTAATGCACCAGTCCCGATTTGATTAATAAAATTTTGAACTGTGTGAGGTATAAGTTTCCCAATTATTAAAATGATCATCAGGTGGTTGGATATTTATGGTAGGTGAGTGTATATGATATAATAAATTCAATGCTTCAATATGCAGTAAATCAATTTAATTGCATATACTCTCTATTCACTTGCATTTACTCCATAATGTGAATGCGGCTTTATTTTTCACCTGCTGAAACAAGATTTACAATTATACATGCACCTATTGCTTGAAGATGTAGTTTCCAACATATCTTCTTACATAAATAAAGGAAAATTTGACTGATCCCTTGAATTAAGTAGAAGAATCCACATAACAGGAGATGAAAAGGTGGAGAAAGATATAAGTGAAGAACAAATAATAGCTTTAGACTTTAAAAAAATGCTTTTGATTTAATTAAAGATTGGTAAATTTCAAATTCAATTAAAATATTTTTTCTTTATCAATCTATTTTTCCTTCTTTGCCCTTGTATATAATGATAATAATAGTAAATAGTAGGAGCTGACATCTTTCTTTTCTTTTCTCAAGTCATAGTACTAGTAACCATAGTAGATTATAAGTGTAATTAATTATCTTGTTAAAAGAAATAAGACCTTATTTATAATTTTACATTTTATATTTTATAAAACGATATAAAACGAACAAGTGTGACCAATTTTTGAAATGTAACGTGTAGCCAGCTCAGTTTCAAAAATCTGGGGTTTAACCGGATCAATAAACCGCAGTTTGAAATGTGTAAACCAAACCGCATCGGTTCGCCGGTTGAACCGGTTTGTGTTAAACCGTTCCCATCCCTAAATTGGAAATCAAGTTCAGATCCAATTCAAATCCAGTTTATCACTTACTATTACTTTTTATTGCCAGAATGTTTGCCGTGTATTGTAAAGCTACGTTGCACAATATAAAAAATTAGTGCAACATTTCCAAATTTCCACTATGCTATTGATTGGTTGATTTTATTTAAAAAAATTTTTTTGATAATAATTAAAAGGCAATGAGTTTTTTTAATGTTCTTAGAAGGTCTCGAGTTCGACGAGACATTAAAACTCGGAAAGCTGTAGCAATGTACGAAGTATTACGACAAGCTTATCGTTATATAATAAGGAATGAAACAATTCCAATGAGAGCCCGAATACAAGCACAACTGGAGTTGAATGATTTACCACGAGAAACACGTTCAACAACCATTAAAAACAGATGTACAGAAACAGGTCGTGGACGTGCTGTCTTCCGTGACTCTAGACTTTGTCGTTATCAATTTAGACTAAAAGCTTTAAATGGTGAACTCCCTGGAGTTAAAAAAGCCATCTGGTGAACAACAAAACCTCTATCATTAATTATTAATTATAATCATTGATAAAGTATGATTTAATAAACAATTCAAAATAAACTTGATAAATCAATAAACAAATATATCTGTAACATTTTTTTAAGGTGATTTAAATAAAGGAAGATATTAATATTAATATATTGATTTTTAAAAAATATTTTGTCGGTATCACATGCGATCAACATTTATAATGTTAAATGATGATGGAAAAACTGCGATATTGAAAAATTATGAATGATGAAGTTTTTTAATAGCTGATATGGATTCAGTTAACCTTAACAATAGCAGTAATATTACTGAAAATGAATCATCATCGAATCAAAATTCAAATTTAGTTGATATCACAAAAATTAAATGTTGGACAAACTACAACTACACAAATCATGCCTAAAACATCTACGAAAACACCAACATAGAAGGGTAGTAATAAGCGCATAGACATTATCGAAGAATGCGATAAACGTAATGCTGAAAAAGAATTTTTAAATTTAGTTATTGTTATTATTGATAAGTTCCTTAACAACATTTCGATTTACTAATTCTTTATATTTGTGTTTATATTTATTTTATATATATATTTCTTTAGATCATGTTGATGAGTCATTTACTTTATCTTCTTGGTGAAGTAAATGATAAAATAATGAAAAAAATATGAAAGAGAATCATCAAAGATGGGAAAATCATCTTTTGCTTAATATGATTTCTGGGGTAGTACTGGCATTATAATTATTCAAAACGTTCAATTGTTTCCGTTAGATTTAATTAATTTGTAATAATAATTATTATCAGGCAGATGCAGCAGTACTTGTAATAGATGCTACAGTAGGTGAATTTGAAGCAGGTTTTGATGCCAAAGAGACATGCATTTCCACGCTAGAAGTTTAGGCGTACAACAATTAGTTTAGCAATTAATAAATTAGATAATGTAATTAATTATGTATTTAGTTTCTACTAAATAATTTATAAATCAACAATTCAATTGATTAATCAACCCATTAATTAAATTACTGCAATTATTCTAATTATTGCACAGAATATCTTTTCTTGCTAAAAACCTTTTTTGGTTTTTTTTCTTTAATTATAGACAAGTTTGAACCACCAATAAGACTTTCGTCTTTTCATAACAGATTTTTTTCAAAGGTAGTCCTGGAAGTTTAAGCGGCATCATAGTAGCAAGAAGAATAGAAACTGGTAGTTTATAAACTGGCGACGAATTAATTGTTATTCTTGGAAAAGGATGTGCAACAGTAAAAGGTAATAAATATATAAATAGAACAATATATTAATTAAATTTATAAATTTTTTTTATGAATGAATCACTCAAATGGGCAATTTCCGGTGATTCTGTTTAATTTCTTTGGCAGGAATAGACATGATTCAATTTAAGTATGTATGTTATGTATGTAACGTATGTATATATGTTAGATAATAGCGTTGAAATTAAAACTTATATTTTTTTGTTTAATTATAAATAGAGTAGGTTCAATACTGTGCCCAATATCGGATTCTGTACCTTTATCATCACAGCTTTTGACAAGAATTGTTGTATTTGAAATAAAATCCCATTACTAGAGGTTATAATGTAAGTTACTATTTAATGTTTTACTTGCATGGATTCATTCTTTCATTATTTTTGTTCCCATAATGTAACAAGGTAATTCTTCATTGACAAAGTTTAAATGAGCCAGCTATTATAACAAAACTTAAATCAATCGTTGACAAGGCAACTGGAGAGTAAATCAAAAAAAAGTTCAAAGTAAATAAAATAAAATAATAATAATACTAATAGTGATAATCGGAATTATTTATTGTTTTTCCAATTCTTTAAAATAAAGACGTATTCCAAAATCAACAGCTGCTATTGTTGAAATACACATTTAAAGACAATAAAGAACTTGGAAGAATAATGATAAGAAGAGGTGGAAAAACCATTGCTGCTGGAATTGTTACAGAGATTAGTATATTAATAGTAGTAATAATAAAACCAAATATTATTGTTGTTGTTGTTATTGTTAACTGGTTTCTCAATTTATTTTCTCTGTCAGTAAAAAAAAGAATTAGTGCTTTTCTATTTTTTTTTTTTGAAAATCTACATACGGTCTTGAAAATTTTCAAGTCAAAGTTTCATCACCTTCAGAATCGACATTCTAAGGCCCAATTCTCTTTACCATATAATAAACAATCCTACAATTATAGATAAAAATATTTTTAAGGTCTACATTATTGTATATATATAGAAATAAAAAATAGATACTAAATCTTGGATGTAAGATTAATGAGTACTAATTGAGATCCTTTATTAATAATATTAAAAAAGAGATGTCACATCAAACAATTAATATTAAACTCACACCCAAACCTTCAAGTAAAATGGTTTCACCCTCTTTAATATCATACTCTTTTAAAGTTTTATCTTTATATTCTTGTTGAGAGAATGCTAAACGTTGCTTATCATGATAATGAGTTTTAAAACTTTATCTACAAGTCGTTTTAACCGGTCAACTATCACGTCTTTAAATATCTAAACTTCCAAGAAATTTCTTTGACTGTCTGGATTGTAATTTTCAATTATTTGAAAATTGTAAAATGAAATAAAAAAAATGATAAATACGTGATTTTTTTTATTAAATTGATTTTTATATAATCTGATCGATCAAAAATAAGATTTTCCAAACCTTAAAAAATTTAAAATCTAATTTCATATTTTTTCCTAATGATAAAAAATATTTATTATAAATAAAATATAGTATTAACGGCGATGGCAACAAACAGTATAAGTAAAACACAAATTTTACATCTGTATAGATCACTACTTAAAGCCAGTAAAAATTTTTCAAGTTATAATTTTCGAGATTATTTTTATCGACATACCAGAGATAGTTTTCACAAAAATAAATTTGAAACTAGTCCACATAAGATTTTGGAGTTTATAAAGAAATCAGAGAATGAATTGGCAACATTAAAACGACAAAGCTATCTAAGTAGCCTTTATAGTGGAGAAAAATTGGTTATTGAAGGAGATGGTGATAGTAATAAATTGTTAAAAGATGAGACTGGTGAGCAGTTCAGAATGAGAGGTGAAAATTGATTGATTGATTGATTGATTGATTGATTGATCTATTGTGTGCTATTGGATAAATTGTTGAATTGATGTTGATTGGGAGGATGGTTTAATGGAAGAGTGGTTAATTAATTGGGTGGACCATACAAGAATAATGTAAAAACATTTAGTTTTGTAAAAAAAGAAAAGGTAATTAAAGAGCAAGAAGAAAGATTGTTTGAGAAGAATAATATCAATAGGATGACCACGATATCATTAATAGTATTAGAGGTGATGATATTATTAAATAATGAAAACATTTTATTTTTTATTTTTTTATTTTTTAATATTAATAAGATTACATTTATACTTCACAATTAATTTAATTTATTTTGATAAATTTATTTTGAAGAATAAAAAAATTATTATTATTATTAAATTCTATTTTCTTCTTTATGCCCCGCCACTATTTGAAGAAAAAAAAGGAGAAAATTTAATATTATATTTAAATATTCATTAATATAATTAATTTATTATAAGATGATGATAATACTACATACACAAGAATATTATTAATTGGAATATGAACTAATTTCACGAAAAATCCAATAAATCCCATTACAAAAAATCCCATTGCAACTGCTTGTGAAATCTTTATGAATTCTTTATATAACAATTATCATTATCATTAATTGCTTTTAAAATATATCATTCATATTAATAACTAAATACTAAATTACCATTACGATCAGGTTTAGTACATCGATTTACAAACTGTGTGCCCTCTTTGATAAATTGTTTCGGCATCTCAACAAATTCTTTTAATTGATCTGACATCTTTTATTATTGTTGTGGTTGTTGTTGTGCTGTTTTTATTTTACACAATAAATAATTAACAAATTTTGAGTATAGAAAGAGTGGTCTCGTGTGACAATTAATACATATTGGTATTTATTTGTAGATCAGTGTTGTCACGTTGTCTGCCTTATTGTTATATTGAGCGGATAACGTTATTCACGCCATAGTTGGCATTTGGCTGTCGAAAATTTTTTTATCGGTAAAAAAATATCAATAAAATAATCAGCTAGTAAAATATTAATTAATTAAATATTTTTTAAAAATAGCAATCAATTCAATCATTTTAATAAGAATAAGCAAACATTTTTAATTATATATATAAATGAACCGAGATTTTACTCTTCAGTTCAACATCTTATCTTTTAATGTGTGATAAAAATATATTGGCATAAAATAAATTAATCATAAATTAGTCTTCATATTAATTGAATTATATTTCCTCCCCATACCACTGTAATTATTAATATTAATATTATTAATAATTAGTCTTTATACTAATTATTTAATTTTATTGGCCAGCTAAGACTGGTGTAATCAAATATTTTTATCCCGGTCATTAAAAGTGATGGACGGACACGTCCGCGTCTGTGTCCGGTGACAACACCATTGTAGATCATGCAAAAAAATAAGAAGTCCAATGAACCAATTCTGGATTGATACCATTCATTGTCTTTGTTTGGTCTTCTCTGAAAACTTTTATTTTCATTTATTCATTTATATTTTCATTTATATATTATTTTATATTATTCATTTATATATTATTTCATTTATATATTAATTAATTACTACTTGCATTTCACAATAAATACTCTTAATTTATTATTATTTATTCACTTTTAATTTTATTCATTCCTTCTTCTCATCTTCCTCAAAGTAAATAATAATATTTTAAAATGTCTTCACAACAAATTACCTCTAAAGAGATTCCAATCATAAAAAAGGCAGAGCCTGGTACATCCATACCAGAAAATTATAGTAGGACACCTTCAGGAACAATCTATTCTAGTACACCTGGAGGTTAGTTAGTATTTAAAAGTTACACTATATATATATGTACTATCATACATACATACATATATAGTATGGTTACATAATAATGATTTGATCTTTTTCGATTTTTAGGAACAAGAATAATTTATGATCGTAATACTTTACTTAATCTAGCAAATTCACCACTTGCAAAAACACCACCAACAAAATTACCATACATTCCTGGTGTTACTATTCCGCATCAAACAACTGAACAAGGATCCTCTGAAAAAAAGGACATCAATGATGACAAAAAATTGAATCAAATTGCTGGCCATTTGGCACCCCCAAATCCTAATTATCCCGGTTCTAAAAACACCTTAGTTGATTCTAATCAAAGTGGCAATATTAGTAGCGGGGGTGAAAGTGGTGATGAAGATTCAAGTAATCATAATACACAAGGTAAATATTAATCAGTGTCGATGTAATTAATATTAATAATAGTATATTAATCGATAAATATAATTTTTTACATATAGGATATAAAGACGATCATGACCATGGAGTATTTGATATTGACATGGAATGAAATGTTGATGAGTTAATTGATGGGACAATATTTAAATTAATAATTTATTATAAAAAGTTACAATCCATTAAAAATATAATATTTGTAAAGATATTGTTTTCAAAATTTTCTAAATTCTGAAAATAAAGTTAGATCTCATTATTATTAATTAGATTAATAATTATTTCAATATATATAATATAATTACTGTTTTAATCTCTTGACATCATCATCCATTTTCTTGTTTTCTTTGTTTACCTCAATATAATTGTCTATAAGATCATGATATTCTGATATTTAAAAAGTTCACTATTCAAATCAGTCGACTCTTGAACTTTCTTTTTGTTCCTCACTCAATAAATTATTCCTTTTAAAAAAAATTTTTTGGTTTAACAAATAATTTATTTACTATAACACTTTTTTTATAAAGTTTTTTCTTAAATAGCTTGTTGTTTTATGCATTTTAACAGTGTCATTCATCATCATAATCCTCTTTTTAGAGTTTCATTTAAAATGGACTCTAAATATTATTTATTTCATATATTATTTTTTTATTATGATGAATGAAAAAAAAATAATGATATTTCTTTTAATTCAATTAGTTCTATTAAACCAGAAAAATAACAATGAAAAAATGAAATAGTATTTCTTATCTATTTCATGATGACACTTGAATTCTTCATTTAAATCACATCTCTTGCTCTCCCTAATCTTCATCCCTTCGAATGTCTAAAATCACATTCATTTATTCTGTCAGTTATGCTAAATGGAACAACAACTAGTACAGGAGTTAATTCTTGTATAAAAAGTCATTCTTGGAGAGGCGAGGGAGAAGCATTAGAAGATATTGTACAGTTGTAATGACTATGAATATTGTTACTCACAGACTTGTG